CCTCAGTGAAGACAGCAGATGTCTGTTTTCCCAAGAAGGGGCAAGGGTAGGCAGGGCCTTCGGATGACTGGACGGGAGCTTAAGAGGGGCCACTTCTCCTGCCCAGCCTCTGCAGGGACTTCCCTGAGAGAGTCACGGTCAAAGTCTCTGAGCCAGCTCTGGGGAGGATGTGAGAGGTCCAGTCTTGTGGGACCACCTCAGGCCTGACCCCACAGCTTCTCCCAGCTCCTGCCCGGGGTACAACCGTGGCAGTGGGGGCCTGGAGGCCAGGCCAGACTCCTCTCAGCATCCTGAGAAGAGAAATCCCCTGTGACCCGATGTGACGCAGCTTTCCACAAATGGCATTTTTGGTTTTTACCCCTGGGAAATGGAGTATTTGTTTTCCAAGAAACAGATTCTTGGATAGAAAGAACTAGATTTGCAAATAAAAATTTTAATGAAAGTGGGGGATGGTGGGGGTGAAAGGAAGGCAGCCAGACAGATTTCAGCTGATGCCATAACCGGTTTTCTCAACACCAGGATGTGTGCAAAGCTGTAGTCATACCCTGGGACCAAAGTGGTCTGAGCCACTGGGTTTAGAGGGGTGGGAGTTGGGGCGGTGGGGTAGGCAGAAGCTCACAGATGCAGGCTATCATCACACTATTGGGACCAATTAGGACACCAAAGTCAAGGACAGAAGTGACGGCCACTCAGATGAACAAGGGTCATGCATGTCCGGGTGGCCCCACACAGACCCTAGGGCATTCCTATCCCACAGGCAGTGGCCTGAGCAGTTCCCCCTTAGAACAGGGCCACTGCCCCTCCAGGGACTACCCCACATCTCCAGAGATGCTGGAGATGCCTTCCCCAAGGGTTCAGGCTTCGCAGGTTTTACTAGGCCCTCGAGGAAGGCTCTCTGGGGCTGGAACCCTGGGGGTGTCTACAGCTTCAGAGCCTTTCCTCCCCTGCACACTGCACCGTAACTGGCTGGTTATGCGATCTAACCCCCCTCTACTGTCCTCCCCCCGCCCCCCGGACTGTGAGAACAGGATGCACTTCTAGCCTTCTCTATTCCCAGGGCCTGCCTGGCAGAGCTTAACAGTGTTTTAGTTGAATAAACAGAAAAATGACCAAATCCTCAACCAGCTGATCAAATTCCTTTGGTACAGTATAAACTTACTGTTCCTGAGTGGTGAGGATGAACAGCCAACTTGTATCCCTAAAAACCCCTCCTACACCCACGGCCTGGCAGGGAGAAAAGGCAAGGATGGAGATGTATTCCTCCCCACGCCTTGTGCCCACAAGGCCCAGCACGGGAGGCAGCCGGGCTGGCATCGAGATCCGCTCGTTCTGTTCTCCTGAACATGATCTACAGGTGAGCTACGCTCTGCTGTGAAAAGATGAGATGAGCTGGGCCGATCAGATGGTCTGGCTCGGAAATCTGACTTGAAAATAAGCAAAGAAACTGCCTGTTAGTAGTAGTTAATGTAGTAAGTACACGGGAGGTTAGAAAGGCCACATGTTAGCTTTAGTTACAAACCATACACAAGCAGAGTCAGAAGCCGGCTGGTACCCAGACAGAAGCCAAGAGGAGACTTTAAAAGGCTGCAGATCGAGGACAGCCTCTTCAGCAAGCCTCTTCAGCAGATAAACGCAAAGATAAACAGGTGGGACTACGCCAAACTAAGAAGCTTTTGCACAGCAAAGGAAACGAAAAGGCAGTCTATGAATGGGACTGGATATTTGCAAACCGTTTATCTGACAAGGGGCCAGTATCTAAAACACATAACGAGCTCATACAACTCAACTGAAAGAAGACAAACAGCCCAATTACAAAACGGGCAGAGGACCTGAACAGATACTTTTCCAAAGACGTACAGGTGGCCAGCAAAGACATGAAAAGATGCTCAACGTCACTAATGACCAGGGAAATGCAATTCAAAACCACAGTGTGACATCATCTCACACCTGTCAGAATGGCTATTTTCAGAACAAGTGTGGACGAGGATGTGGAGAAAAGGGAACCCTCATGCACTATTGGTGGGAATGTAAATTGGTGCAGCCACCATGGAAAAGAGTACGAAGGTTCCTCAAAAAATTAAAGCTAGAACTAGCATATGATCCAGCTATTCCACTTCTGAGCATTTCCCTGAAGAAAACGGAAACACCAATTTGGAAACACGTATGCATCCCTATGTTCACTGCAGCATTATTAACAAGAGCGAGGATACGGAAGCAACTGAAACGTCCATCCACAGATGAATAAAGAAGATGTGGTGTTTACACACACACTCACAGAGGAATACCACTCAGCCATAAAAAAGAGTGAAATCTTGCTATTGGCAACAACATGGATTATACTAAGTGAAATAAGTCAGAGAAAGATAAATACCATATGACTTCACTTATATATGGAATCTAAAGAACAGAACAAAATAAAACAGAAACAGCCTATGGATACAGAGAACAGGTAGTTGCCAGAGGGGAGGGGCGTGGGGAGGGATGAAAAAAATGGTTAACTACGTGAGTTAATGAATGCTACTTAGCTTGACTGTGGTGATCATTTCACAATGTGTGTGTGTGTGTGTGTGTGTACACACGAAACCATCATGTACACCTTAAATATATATAATTTTTGTCAACTACACTTCAAAAAAGCTGAAAAAAGATTTCAAAAGTTAAATTAGATGTTTAAAAGGGCCGTCTCTTGGAAGAGACGACACGCTCGGTAGTTTTGCAGGTGAGGGGCCACCTAGACTGCCGGGAAGTGGGGCAGGAAGGGGAGAGAGTGCAAGTGGAGGCACAAAAGGGACGTGTGTAAGAACAACTGGGTTAGTCTGGTGAGTAGCGAGCCAGGGAGGGGAGAAGGTGTGTGTGAGGGAGAGAGCAGGGGCCAGGTGGTGGAGGTACTGTGTGCTAAGATGGGAAGTCTGGCCACTGTGCAGGGGAATCAGATCTGCTCTGGGAACCTCCATCTCACCACGTCACCCTCTCAAACCCATGGCTTCAGCATAGGTCTTGTCATCTCCCAGACTAAGCCACCTCTAAACCCAGTGCTGATCCCACTCCCCCCACAAACCACTAAGTCCTATTCCAACCACTGACTCCCTTAGCCTACATCTACCCTGCAACCTCCTAGACCCTCAACATCCTGCCCTGACTGCCCTGCCCAGCTGGAGCTCACAGCTGACCACTGGAACTCCATCTCATCAGTACCCTAAACCCTCTTGCACTGCTACCCTCACACCTGTCCACACTCCATCAGCCCCACATTCAGTCCTCCCTTCTGTGGCAGACTCCTGGCTGGCTCCCCTAATCTGTTTTCTTCTTCTATAATACAGAGTTTTAGCTGGGGACATGGCTGCCAGCTAGACCCGTTTCCCAGACTTCTGTGCAGCCAGGTGCCAAGTTCCCACCAATGGAATGTGAGCAGAAGTGATGCGTACAACTCCTTTCTCCTTGACCTAAAAGGAAATTACTTGCCTTCCACTTCTGCTCTCACCGCTTCCAGGAGCTGGAACACTGATGTGGCAGAGGCCCAGCTGTGGCCACGCAGCCCCACCAGCACAGCCTACGGAATGGTGGAACAGGACAGTAGGGACCGAGGACCCTGACAGGTTCTGGAAAAGGAGCCACTCTACCGGCCGGTGCCACCCTCTTCCCTTGGGACTATAATGTGAGAGAGAAATATTCATATGATTTAATCCACTCCTTGTTACAGCAGATTTTACTGCAGTCAAATCTGTGGAGAAAAATGCCGTAACCGATGAGAACAGTACCACCATGCATTCCTCGTCTCCACCTCAGCTGAGTTCCACCTTCACTTGGTCCTGATCAGCTCACTTGCAAATTTCCTCTAGTAAAAGCACAAACTCTCATGTTTATCAGGACCCTGTCCAATGTCTAACTCTCAAACCACAATCCTGTCTCTTAGGGCACTACAAATGTTGAGGCCACCAAGGAGGGTCTCCCACCATGTCCCACACACCCCAGCAAGCCTCTCCTCTTACCCCAGTGGCACTGGGGTCCTTGTCTCTGTGCTCTGATTGGACTCCCTGGAGTAAATTCACAGCTCCACTATGTACTACCTGTGCAACCCATCTCAGTCTTCCTTTCCTCATCTGCAAAATGGGGATGACAATACTGCTTAACAGGACCATGAGGGTTGATGAGATAACGCATGTAAAGCGACTAGCTCAATGCCTGGTATACAGTGAGCAATGGCCACTTGCTACTAACACTACTAACACAAATGTGGCCACATTGCTACCTGACGGAGGCCCTCACTGAATCTCCAGCACCTACCGAAGTCGAAACCTCTCAGTATGCTGGGCCCTTCACAACACATCTACCATTTACCCCCAGAATTTTCTCTCATGCCACTCTCTGCCTTAAACACTATGTTCCAATAATACCAAACTGCCCACAGATCTAAAAAGAGTAAAATACACATTCACTAACTTGACAAATGTATATTAAAATGCCTAATTTTGGAGTATTAGTGATTACTCCAATAAATTAATTCCTCTTCCTGGAAAAAAACACCCACCTCTCTAAAAGGCACCAACATGAGAAAGAGCCTATTTTGTATCTTGTGTCTGGGAAGTGATACTGAATTTAGTTTCCTAAAATAAAAGTTAGGTTACCCTTCTTTCTGCTCTAAAATATGATGCTATGCTAAGGAAGTTATGGGGGGGAAAAAAGCAATCTTTATATCTACTTTTAAATCTTATTCTATTATTTAAGTGCACTGGAAATACTGTATCCCATGGAAGGGGAAGGAGGCTCCTTTAAGAGGGACATATGATACATAAGCCAGTCAGTGAGGCTGGCAACAAAGGGATGCTAAAGAGCCAGAAGATGTCCAAAGTGGCCAGCAAGGACGGTGGCGGCAGGGGAAGGCCCTCGGGGCAGAGCCAGCCCCAGGTTTCCACAAAGCCCGGCAACCTGGCTGCAGCCTCCTGTCTCTTCCTCTTCCTGCCTTCCCAGAAGAGTCAGGACGGACCCTAGAGAGTACTTACCACGAGACAAGAGTCTGCTTGGCTGACCAAGAATGTCTGTTAGGTCAAATACAGCTGCCCTCCGCTAAGCTAGGTCATCTGTGGGTCTTCCTAGGGGGAAACAGAGAACATAGGCCAGAGGGCTGCTGCCTAGAGACTCCAACACAGAACTTAAACACAGGTTTACCAAGACACTGCGCTTCCTGACAGAGAGATTACGGCCACGTCAAGCCCATTCTGGCCTGAGCAGGGTACGAGTTAGAAGAACTTCATTCAAAGTATGAACTCTGGTGCTTTTCTGGGGCTGTGACCAAGTCCTCCTCAAGTCCACCAGGGTCCGCAGAACGTCCTGTTCTCTGGGTTGTGCAGACAGCCTGGAAGGTCTTTTTTCAGATGTACATTAAGTAGTGCTGTGACCAAACAGTTTCAATCCCAAAATTAACAAGCCTCATATGAATACAAATAGTCTAAATAAAGGCACAAAAAATATAATCCAATAAATTCATGTGATATTTCATTAAAGGAATAAATAAATGTTTAAGCTCTTTATGTAAGAATTTTTATGGAGACAGCCAGCCAATCTCCAGCTTACTTCCAGAGGTCCTAGGCAGTCAGACCATGAAGCCAGAGGAAAGGCATCTGATGGCAGATACCAAGGGCAAACACTGAGGAGAACATAAATACCCTTGCAAGGCCAGATCTATAAAGTGGTGGCAGAATTATGGACCAGCAGAAAATAGTAAGGCCAGAGGCCAAAGGAACAGCAATCCCCATGGAATAGTGAGGATTTCCGGACATAGACTAAGAGGCTAACGTGCTAGGTAGTAACCCCTGCCAGGCCTTCTCCTCCAGGAACGGCAGTACTCACCCACCTAGCAGCAAGCTGACGGCACTCCCTGTGTTTGCTAAGATGTCACAATCACTGTGCTTCCTCTCATAACTGACGAAACTCTGGAGCATTAAATACACTATGGAAGGAGGCCAGAGGCCACTTCCTTACCCCATTTCTGCACAGGGCAGACATTGCTAGTTGCCCACCAATGGCCACCCCTACTTTCTTACCAACGGAAGCCCAATTTTATCCAAGGTAAGAATGTGCTCAACTAAAAAGTTTCCTCGAATGTGTATACACTGGTGAATGAACAGTATATATCCATTACAGTGAAAAACTGGGCAATTAAAAGAAATAAAGTACTGATACATGCTACAATATAGATGAACCTCAACAATGTTATGCTAGGTGAAAGAAGCTGAAGGCCACGTACTGTATGATTCCGTTTGTATGAAAGTCCCAGGATAGGCAAATCTAGAGAAACAGAAAGTAGGCTTGTGGCTGCCTAGAGCAGGGGTGGCAATGGGATTAGGAATGGCTCCTAATGGGTATGAGGCTTCTTTTTGTGATGATAGTAAAAATGAATTCAGTTGTGGTGATGGCTGAACAACCCGATGAATTTGAAAATCACTGAGCTGTAAAGTTTGAATGGGTGATGTGTGAATAAAGCTGTTGAAAGAAATCCAACAAACCTCCTCTCCCAAGATGCCTGACTGAAGCGGTACCCATGTGCTGTATTTCTGGCCAGTCAGATGCTGGTGGAAGTATACTATGGAAAAGTTGTTTCCTCATTAAAAAACAAACAAAAACCCAGCTAACTCATGCCTTTTGCCTTTCATCCTTCTCTCATCTTCCTACCTTGTAAAAACCTAGGCCTTGGTGGGGTCTCAGAACAAAAGCATGTTGGAGACGAGAGAGCAGCAAAAATGGAGGTCATGGATGGTAACGGATGGTGTCATGGGTAATGGATGGTGTCATGGGTAACGGATGGTGTCCTGGGATCACTGCACCAGCCCTGATTTGTCTCTCTCTGGATTTGTTATGGGAGAAAAATAAAACTCTGTCTCGTTAAGTGATTATAGCTGTATTTCTGTAACTTGCAGCCAAATGCAATCCTTAATGGCACACGCCTATCTAATATCAGCCTGTGCTCATTCTTGGAGCCAAGAAGGCAAACGGAAAAAAGACTCAGAAAGATGCAAAAAAGTTGATTACAAACGTAGTATAAGACACCACGGAGTCAGCCTTAATTTCTTTTTTAAAGGGTAAGTAATTACTTTATTGTCAAACTATGTATGTTTTTCCCAATTTTTATATATTCCCAAGGGAGCTCTTACACCTCTCTAAAAACAAATCACTAAAAAATGCTTTAGTTCAAAATACTGACATATCAATTATGAGCAAATGGCATGACATTATTTGCTCAAAGAGGAATAATTTCAAGTATCATCAATTCCTATTTCTTTTTTTTTAATGAGTTTCTAACAATTGTTCCTTTAGGGTTAAGCCCTCTAGGCCTGATTAACCTTAATCCTGACAAAGGCCCACTTCCAGTCTACTCATACAGAAAATGTACGTACTTTTATGCAGGATGTTCATGTATCCCAGAGAATGAAGTTCAGTATTATTCTGAAATATTCAGGACAAAAATAAATGTGGAAACACAAATTTTAACTTAACAAGCAACTGTTTACATTTTTCTTTTCTAGCCCCATAAATTATATCACCTCCTTTAACTGTATGGTATGGGGGTGAAGGGCATGGGGGACCTGGAAAAGTCTTCCACACAAGTCAATGAACATGGAGTAATTATTTTCATGGATAACTCTAAAGGTGACCTTACAGAAATATGAATCAGAATTTGCATTTGGGCTAATTGTTCCTACGACCAAAGAGTTAAAAAGGTGGCTGGGAAGGTGTGGATGAGGGGTGCTTAAGCCAGTGGGATGGGGTGGAATATGGTCTTGTCTACCAATCTGTCTTTTTATTTCATGCTTATTGGTAACACATTGCATAAAACTTAAACTCTTCAAATTTGAATATAAATATCTCAGTATTTTAAATAGGAGATAATGCTTTATGGAATTGGCATTTTTTAAAAAGCCTAACTGCTCTCATGTGCAAATTTATATATTTTTACTTACCAATTCATTAAATATTCAACCCTATCATGTGTCAGCACTAATTCAGCAAATAGAGATTTAGATCTGAGCGAAACACAAGTTCCTATCCTCAAGGGATGCACACAGCCAAGTGGTAAAAATAAGCCACCATCTCAGCAGTTGTGAGAGTGCAAACCCAGGGAACGAGGCTGAAAAGCAACTATGGAGACTGGAGGAGCAGGGTGAGGTGCTGGGGGAGTCTCCTGGGCAACTCAGTTTTAGGAAGTATTACAGAGGCCGGATAGGTGGGTAAGGACCAAGGAAACTGCAGGGCAATGTGGCAAAAGATGATGATGAGCGAGGCCGTGGCGGGTCTGAAGTCCTCAGGAAGTGAACTCAACAGAGATAGGTTTTCATATAATGGGAATGTGTAAAGTTCCACGCATCACCTCCCTTTACCCTCACATTTTCTTCCAATATAAAACAAATAACGTTTACCACAACAAGAGAGACTGCGGAGCAGCTTCCATGCTTGTAGACCAAATGACAAGAACTAAGATTGTTCCACACCCAAAGGGGATTTTTCTCCCTCTGCTCGATCATTCCTGTCACCAGTGAAACACTTCCTGGTACCGTATCTCCACCAGGAAAACACACATGCCCTGTGCCGCCTGTCCCCCCTCCCCCAATACTTCTTTGCTCTCCTTGAGTTACTGCTCCGTTTCCCTTCACAGCAAAACGTTCAACAGCCCTGACTGCAGCAGGGTCTCCACCTCCCCACCCAGTATCTGCACTGCAACGTGCTCCAGTCCCTGCAGCTTCTTAATTAGCCAGGTCCCACACAGGCTTCTTCCTTCACTTTGCAATACTTTCTTCCCTGGGCTTCCATGACACCTCATTTTCCTATTTTTGTTGTTGCTTTTTCCAAATACTGTGTCTTCTTCTCAGTCTTCTGCTGCTGTTGTTATTTCTTCTTCCTTCACTAGTCCATTAAAAGCTGGAGTGCTCAGGACTCAGGCCCAGGACCTCTTTTCCATCTACACTCTCTCCTGAAGCAAGTTCACCCAATACTGTGGCTTTAAATATGGTTTATATGTTATACTCCAACATTCACATGTTCAATGAGACTGCTTCCCTGAGCTGCAGATTCTCATCTATCTACTCAAAATCCCCACTTAGAGGCTGACCAATTGGCGTCTCAAACATGGCTTACAACAAATTACTGATTCCTGCTGCCAAAGCAAACTTCTGTTCCTCCTAGAGATTTTCCATTTCTGTATACAGTGTGGCTACACAGCCAGATGTTCAAGCTCCAAATCAACTAGTCACTCCTGATCACTCTCTTTCCTTCTCCACCCACCCCCAACCCCACATCCAATGGATCCAGGTCCAATCTGCCCCTTCCAATCTCTTGTACTATCTGAATTGGTCCAAAACCACTAATTTTCCTTCCTTAAACTATGCAATAGTTTCTTATAGTCTCATTACTTCTACTCTCGCCTCCCTACAATCTGATCTCTTTAAAATGACAAATTAGATCATGTCACCCCCTTATTTAAAAAATCCAAATCCTCGAATGAAATTCCACTGTGTCTAGAATAAATGTAAATGTGCCCCATGGCCTACAATGCCCCCGTCTGTTTCTGTGTCTCTCAGACTCTTCTCCGACTACATTCCAGCCACAATGGCTTCTGTTCTCTTGTTCCAGCAGCAGCGGCTGGAGGATGGACAGGAAGGGAGGCCAGCTTGTCCCTGCTTTACAGCTTCTGCAATCATGTCCCTTTTGCCTGGATCTTCTCATAGCTGGCTTTGTGTCATTCAGATCTCAGCTCAAATGCCACCTGCTCAAAGAAGCCTGGCTAAATATTACATCCAAAGTTATTTTCTATGATACCATCTATATTTGTTTAAGATAGTGCTTACCAAAATCTTACTTACATTCTTTATCTGCCTCTTCTAACTAGAATGTAAGGCCTAGAAAGGGAGGAACATCATCTGTCTTGTTCCCTCGTATCTTGAGAGGCAGACATACAGTAGACAATCAATAAATACATACTGAAAGAATAACCCAATCCTCCATGCTTCTATAAATACAATTTTCCTACAGTGAGGGTGTTACAGGAAAGGACAAACTATAATACAGTTCCTGGTTACTAGAGCCAATTTATAACACACCAGTGCTTTGTCAATTTGCTTCTTTCCTATAAAAATTACATCTTCTACAAAATCTGTCCAGTGATATTCACAAACCACTGGAATAAGACCAGCCCTGGAAATCTTATAACCATGGAAATCATGCTCTTTTCATCGAAGTCAAAGACTCCAAGTAGTTCAACAAGAAAAATCTGTGTAGAGTCTTAAACCATAAAATAAAATGGCTTACTAACAAAGAGATATGGTTGAAGGCACCACATATCCAGGCAAACTGAGAGCACCTCTCACTACCTGCTAATTTGGGACAGAAGTCGATGACAGTGCTGTTTTCTCTGCACTGATCTTGAGTACAGAACTATTATTTCTAAACAATGCACAAACCTACACACATTAAAAAATGCAATGAACGTTGGAAGGGATGCTAGAGTTGAACCGCTCACTTCATGTGCCTAGTACATAATAGATGCTAAATCAATACTTGTTGATTACATGCCTTCGAAGATTGCAGGTTGTGAACAAAAACATCTAACTTACAGATAGTTCAAAGAGCTTTAAAAAAAGCTGGCCCTTCACAGAGCTGAGTATTTCATAAAACCAAAGAACCAGTGTTAACAAACGGCACACAAAAAAATCATGCTCTTGGTCTGCTTGGGGTAGAGCACATACTGTGTGGGCTATTTTCCCAGATGGGCTGCTGATTCATAAAGCTCTTTTAGGAACAGCAAGAGCTTCCAACTGCAGTGCATTCTGTCCTACGTACCTGTGAGGATGGGAGCAGAGGCAAGCACCATCAGGCCTAGCTATTTAAGAGGCCCACTCAACTCTGCCTTAGGTCAACTAGAAAAACCATAGATACATACATTCCCCGAATTTAATGGCTCTGGAGAAAGTTTCAGCGTTGTAATACTTTCTGGTAATAACAATCTCAACTTTTTATTAGAACCTGGAGACTGAGCAGAGTCAGCTATATTATTGGTGTTAGGGATTGGGAGCCTGAGTGAGACACCCATGAAATGAAACAGGGACATCTAGCTGTTGCATGTTCAAAGACTTACCAGACACAACCAATCATTCATTATGAACAATATTTTCAATACTGTCATAATATAGAACAAATTCTTTAATTTTCAAGTGTTTAAAAAAAACAAATTCATACTCAAGCCAGCCTTGAAGATAAGCACGAAATGTACCAGTTTACATTTTCCCCCCACAACAACACAAGCACCCATTCTGTGCATAGCACTGTTCTAGGTGCAATAAATGGGATTCTTAACCTTAGAAACATGATTTCTGTTTCTGCAATCGTGTTATCTCCTTTTCCAGAGAGTAAAAATAAATAAAATCACCACTGTTTACTACTGATTTGCCTCAAATCCACTTCTGGCTCACAGAACCGCTAATTTCTGCCAAATTTAAGATGTTTCAGTGAACTCAGCTCCTACTTCTCCCAAAATAAAAAAGCAGAACTCCTTTTCATTAAAAAAAATAAAAAAGAAACAATTTCCCATAAAAGGGCAGCTTCTGTTTCTAATAAGTATTTTTTTTCTCTAGATTTTCTTTAAGTTTTCTTCCTCTAATATTGCCTTTTCCTGTACAAGACAAACCAACCTCTTTCTCTGTTTTTCTTTTCCTAAGAAAAAGCTGCATCTTGAAGACAAACCATTCCCAAGACTAGTG